CCTGAGATAATATTTCGTTTTCCTGAGATAATTCCCGTTTTCCTGAGATAAATTCTCGTTTTCCTGAGATAATATTTCGTTTTCCTGAGATAAATTCTCGTTTTCCTGAGATAAATTCTCGTTTTCCTGAGATAATTTTTCGTTTTCCTGAGATAATTCCCGTTTTCCTGAGATAAATTCTCGTTTTCCTGAGATAATATTTCGTTTTCCTGAGATAATTCCCGTTTTCCTGAGATAAATTCTCGTTTTCCTGAGATAATTTTTCGTTTTCCTGAGATAAATTCTCGTTTTCCTGAGATAATATTTCGTTTTCCTGAGATAATTCCCGTTTTCCTGAGATAAATTCTCGTTTTCCTGAGATAATTTTTCGTTTTCCTGAGATAAATTCTCGTTTTCCTGAGATAATATTTCGTTTTCCTGAGATAATTCCCGTTTTCCTGAGATAAATTCTCGTTTTCCTGAGATAATTTTTCGTTTTCCTGAGATAAATTCTCGTTTTCCTGAGATAATATTTCGTTTTCCTGAGATAATTCCCGTTTTCCTGAGATAAATTCTCGTTTTCCTGAGATAATTTTTCGTTTTCCTGAGATAAATTCTCGTTTTCCTGAGATAATATTTCGTTTTCCTGAGATAATTCCCGTTTTCCTGAGATAAATTCTCGTTTTCCTGAGATAAATTCTCGTTTTCCTGAGATAAATTCTCGTTTTCCTGAGATAATATTTCGTTTTCCTGAGATAAATTCTCGTTTTCCTGAGATAATATTTCGTTTTCCTGAGATAAATTCTCGTTTTCCTGAGAAAATATTTCGTTTTCCTGAGATAAATTCTCGTTTTCCTGAGATAATATTTCGTTTTCCTGAGATAAATTCTCGTTTTCCTGAGATAATATTTCGTTTTCCTGAGATAATTTCCGTTGTAAAATGAACAGTTAAAATGAATTGAAAAAATACAATTTTCTTCTAATTTTATAACGTTTTGGCATCTGAATGCCCCCCCCCCCCCCCCTGAGTACGATGTCATATATATTTACTGTAAATTGCGAGCGAGCGAAGAGCGCAATAATTAACAAATAAAAGACACTAGTCTTACTCGTACAAATTTAGGTACAATACCAATTTGGATGATAAATCTATCTTGATTCAAGAACACTTTATTAACAGACTGCCCGATTACAATAGGGGACAGCCCACGAGGCCGACGGCCGTCAGCCTAGGGCCTAAATCCAGTTTTAGGGGGGTATTCAGCAGGCGCGGATCCAGGATTTCTTAGGGGAGGGGGCCCAAATTTGAAATTTTGCGAGCCAAATATTGGTACGTAATGGTGACCAACAGTGACGTAATGCGGGGGGGGGGTCGGTGCAGGGAGGGGCGATTTTTCCCCTCCCTCCTCCGCGAAACGCGGAAGCTTTGACGTTTCATTAAATTATTAGAGAAAAAAGACGATTCGTTGTACCGTTTTCGAAAATAATTCTCGTCTGAATTTAGTTTTCCCCCTCCCGCGCGAAGCGCGGAAAATTTTACGATTTATTAAATTATTAGAGAAAGAAGACGATTCGTTGTCGAGTTCTCGACTCTTTATCCTCGTCTGAATTTAGGTTCCCCCCTCCCGTGCGAAGCGCGGAAGCTTTTACGATTTATTAAATTATTAGAGAAAGGAGACGATTCGTTGTCGGGTTCTCGACTCTTAATCCTCGTCTGAATTTAGGTTCCCCCCTCCCGTGCGAAGCGCGGAAGCTTTTAAATTTCCTTAAATCATTAGAGAAAGAAGACGATTCGTTGTACCGTTTTCGAAAATAATCTGCCCCCTGGATTTCACCTAGGGCCCTACGGCGGGCCCTTAGATGCTCATCTGACGGTAATTTAATGCCTAAAACCCCTGATATTTTGGGGCTCCGCCCCCTGGACCCCACGCCAAATAGTGACGTGCCAGTCTCACAAAATAATAAGGTATACAAAAAAATGCTCATCTGACCTTAATTAAACGCCTAAAACCCCTGAGCTTCCGGGGCCGGCTCCGCCGCCTCGACCCCCCCCCCCCAGGGGCCCTAAGACGGCCCCTGATTCAGACAAGGATTAAGAGTATAGAGAACGATACAACGCATCGTTTTCTTTCTCTAATAATATAATGCAACGTCAAAGCTTCGCGCAGGAGGGGAGGGGGGGGGGACTGAATTCAGACAAGGATTAAGAATCGAGAACGGTACAACGAATCGTCTTCTTTCTCTCATAATCTTATGAAACGTCAAAGCTTCCGCGCTTCGCGCGGGAGGGGGGAACCTGAATTCAGACGAGGATTCAGAGGCGAGAACGGTAGTACGAATCTTTAATGATTTAATGAAAGGTAAAAGCTTCCGCGCTTCGCGCGGGATGGAGGGGGAACTAAATTCCGATGAGGATTATTTTCGAGAACGGTACAACGAATCGTCTATTTTCTCTAATGATTTAATGAAACGTAAAAGCGTCCGCGCTTCGCGCGGGAGGAGGGGGTTGGGGGAGAATCTAAATTCAGACGAGGATTATTTTCAAAAACGGTACAACGAATCGTCTTCTTTCTCTAATGATTTAAGGAAATTTAAAAGCTTCCGCGCTTCGCACGGGAGGGAGGAACCTAAATTCAGACGAGGATTAAGGGTCGAGAACTCGACAACGAATCGTCTCCTTTCTCTAATAATTTAATAAATCGTAAAAGCTTCCGCGCTTCGCACGGGAGGGGGGAACCTAAATTCAGACGAGGATTAAGAGTCGAGAACTCGACAACGAATCGTCTCCTTTCTCTAATAATTTAATAAATCGTAAAAGCTTCCGCGCTTCGCACGGGAGGGGGGAACCTAAATTCAGACGAGGATAAAGAGTCGAGAACTCGACAACGAATCGTCTTCTTTCTCTAATAATTTAATAAATCGTAAATTTTCCGCGCTTCGCGCGGGAGGGGGAAAACTAAATTCAGACGAGAATTATTTTCGAAAACGGTACAACGAATCGTCTTTTTTCTCTAATAATTTAATGAAACGTCAAAGCTTCCGCGTTTCGCGGAGGAGGGAGGGGGAAAATCGCCCCTCCCTGCACCGACCCCCCCCCCCGCATTACGTCACTGTTGGTCACCATTACGTACCAATATTTGGCTCGCAAAATTTCAAATTTGGGCCCCCCCCCCTAAGAAATCCTGGATCCGCGCCTGCCGAATACCCCCCTAAAACTGGATTTAGGCCCTAGGCTGACGGCCGTCGGCCTCGTGGGCTGTCCCCTATTGTAATCGGGCAGTCTGTTAATAAAGTGTTCTTGAATCAAGATAGATTTATCATCCAAATTGGTATTGTACCTAAATTTGTACGAGTAAGACTAGTGTCTTTTATTTGTTAATTGCGCTCTTCGCTCACTCGCAATTTACAGTAAATATATATGACATATGACATCGTACTCAGGGGGGGGGGGGGGGCATTCAGATGCCAAAACGTTATAAAATTAGAAGAAAATTGTATTTTTTCAATTCATTTTAACTGTTCATTTTACAACGGAAATTATCTCAGGAAAACGAAATATTATCTCAGGAAAACGAGAATTTATCTCAGGAAAACGAAATATTATCTCAGGAAAACGAGAATTTATCTCAGGAAAACGAAATATTATCTCAGGAAAACGAGAATTTATCTCAGGAAAACGAAATATTATCTCAGGAAAACGAGAATTTATCTCAGGAAAACGGGAATTATCTCAGGAAAACGAAATATTATCTCAGGAAAACGGGAATTATCTCAGGAAAACGAAATATTATCTCAGGAAAACGAAATATTATCTCAGGAAAACGAGAATTTATCTCAGGAAAACGAAATATTATCTCAGGAAAACGAGAATTTATCTCAGGAAAACGGGAATTATCTCAGGAAAACGAAATATTATCTCAGGAAAACGAGAATTTATCTCAGGAAAACGGGAATTATCTCAGGAAAACGAAAAATTATCTCAGGAAAACGAGAATTTATCTCAGGAAAACGAAAAATTATCTCAGGAAAACGAGAATTTATCTCAGGAAAACGAAAAATTATCTCAGGAAAACGAGAATTTATCTCAGGAAAACGAAATATTATCTCAGGAAAACGAGAATTTATCTCAGGAAAACGAAATATTATCTCAGGAAAACGAGAATTTATCTCAGGAAAACGGGAATTATCTCAGGAAAACGAAATATTATCTCAGGAAAACGAGAATTTATCTCAGGAAAACGAAAAATTATCTCAGGAAAACGAGAATTTATCTCAGGAAAACGAGAATTTATCTCAGGAAAACGGGAATTATCTCAGGAAAACGAAAAATTATCTCAGGAAAACGAGAATTTATCTCAGGAAAACGAGAATTTATCTCAGGAAAACCAAATATTATCTCAGGAAAACGAGAATTTATCTCAGGAAAACGGGAATTATCTCAGGAAAACGAAATATTATCTCAGGAAAACGAGAATTTATCTCAGGAAAACGAAAAATTATCTCAGGAAAACGAGAATTTATCTCAGGAAAACGGGAATTATCTCAGGAAAACGAAATATTATCTCAGGAAAACGAGTATTTATCTCAGGAAAACGAAAAATTATCTCAGGAAAACGAGAATTTATCTCAGGAAAACGAGAATTTATCTCAGGAAAACGAGAATTATCTCAGGAAAACGAAAAATTATCTCAGGAAAACGAGAATTTATCTCAGGAAAACGGGAATTATCTCAGGAAAACGAAAAATTATCTCAGGAAAACGAGAATTTATCTCAGGAAAACGAAAAATTATCTCAGGAAAACGAGAATTTATCTCAGGAAAACGAAAAATTATCTCAGGAAAACGAGAATTTATCTCAGGAAAACGAGAAAAAAAAAATTCTCCATGTCACTTCCGGGGCTCCGTACGAGGGACTCCACCGACCGCACACAAATTGAGCAGTTTAATAGATCGCCCATCCCCTCATAAACACACGCGCCGCACGTACCGTATATCTCCGTGCTCGCGCGCTCTCTATTACTCAAATTTTTATATGCGGAAGAAATTGCACGGAATACTCGTTTCTCAGAATTTCCTACTCAGAAATCGAGTTGTCAAGAATCAAGACTCGCTGTTGATTGACGCAACCCTTTTTTAGGTAAATATCAAGGTGAGAATCAGGCGTCCTTTCGGTTACATGTAGGTCTAGTGCTAAGTAGAAAGTTAGCCAAAACTATAATTAGACTCAAGTCAGATCTAGCTCTAGTAGACTCTATTAGTAAATAATGTTAATTGTTATCCATCTGTGTGAGTGTATCTAGAATCTAGTCTGCATAGACAATCATCGTTTCGCTGCATCTTTACAGACCAGAAAACCTCAATTCATCATGGCTCCATTATTAATCACAATGCAAGGTAAACTCACAGGCATAGGGTCTACATTAGAGGCATTATTAGTGCATAATTATAGAGTCTACACAGACTAGACACGCAGTGACATGCATGTGACACACACTGAGTGATTTCAAGTTCAGTGTTGACTTGAAAGCTGGTGAGTGGTGTTGTGAGAACACCAACACCAGCCACAACACCGAACTTGAAATCAGGCTGGTGTTGGGATTAACCTCAGGAAATATGACGTATTTCCGCTAGTCTGTGACTGTGTTGAGGCTGGTGTTACTTGAATGTCGTCTGCTGAACCGAGTAGACCTAGGCCTACCGCGGTTGGTTTTGACGATTTACGTGTTATTTTCCCATTCACCAACACAAGCCCCTAGGGATTGGGAAATTCATGATTAGATCTAGACCTACAAGGATAAACGGATAAACGTTGATATTAGTATACATTTTTTCATGAAGATCTGAGACATTACGGTAGATAACTTCACACTTGCGCGCGCCCGCCCGCAACCCACCATCGATACTAGTACTTGTATTGTGCAGCGGTTTACCGTGAAACCTGTGACAAAGTGTATACTAATAATCAACGTTTATCCCAAAAATAACAAAAAAATTGACACGAAACCGGTAATAAACATAACAAATTTTAACTCATGATCTTTATTTGGACATTTAATGAATATTTACTTCATTTTGGGTATGTTTTAGTAGGGTATCTCCACGCCAGAGTTACGGGTCAAATTTTGGATAGGTTTCAGAACAAGCGCCGAATATTCATGATATAGATCTAGATAATAGAGTGCCGTTCGCTCAAAATTGCTGAATATGCACGAGGTTGAGGAGGGCTCTTTTTCTTTGATTCATGCGTAAAGGTGTGATGCACTCGGTGTTGAGATATATCGGTATCGTCCTTCTAAAGTGACCACCTGTGTTGGAGCTTGGTTTAGTTTTCATCAGCCTTTCCATGCTCTCAACAGTACACCAACACCCAACACCATACTTGAACTCACTCACCAATCCTTTCATTTAAAAAAAAAATGTATGTCTGGATAGGTTGGGTATCCATTTCAAATGATATTAGCAAATTTGATTAGAGCAAACAACAATGTCAATATCACCAATATCTTGGTATGCTCTTATGAGAATTGCCATTGCGTATGGGTAGTGAAAATGTAATACAAATGAAATATTGCTAAGTATATGAATATTGTTTATTTTTTCTTCAGAATAAGTTTCAATTTAATTCAATTATGTTATTTAATATACACAAGACTATATCATTGTTATAACTTCCGGAGCCTATGACCTACAAGCATTGCTTTCTCTTTAGGCTCCATCATATTTATTCCTTTATACAACTAAGTCTTGGGTATTACCGGTATTCTTTTTGTTTGTATAAACGCATCTTAAAATGAGTACAAAAATGTAACATGCCAAATGTATACATGTACAACATGTGAAATATGAAACTAAACTGAAACTGAAACTGAAGAGTTGATGGCATCATGGCAGTCACACTGCCATGACTGTAGGCCTGCAAAATGAAAGTAAAAGGAAAGTGCTTGACATGGTTGTGGGCACGACGTACACATACCCAACTTGTCCATACAGTACATGTATGCTACTTTACATGCATGTACTTGTGTTTATAATGAAATATTCAAACCTCTAAAGTGTGAATGTATTTTTGTTTTACCAAAGTGTGTTCATGTAGCTTTTAAGTGTGCATTAGGCTGAAAATTTTAGTTTGAAGGGAAAACATTACCGGATGTTATCTTGCATACATGTAGATTTATTGTTATTAACAGTTTATTTAATATTTTCTGAAGGAAAGCAGTGAATATGCCAAAAGTGATTTTTGTGTTTGGTTGTTTGCACCTACTCTTAGTAAGTAAGTCTTAGGTGTACATTGTAGTTAATCCCCCTCAATATCTCACTGAATGCCAAGACAAGCATGGACTATGCAATGTACATGCACAGATGTACTTGGTGTGAAGGGACTTTTACAGGCAATGATTAAAATGGGATAGATGCAGATTTATTTCAGCTAATCTTAGTTGTATGAAGGAACTTATATTTAATCACAACTTTATCTGCAAGTTGCCCCTGATGGTGAACTGTACATAAACATGAAAATGTACATGTGCGCTTCACTTAGAGGACCTTGTTATCCTGCTGCAAGCGCGTAGCCAGGATTTTATTTTAGGGGGGGTGGTAGTGAGCACGCGAAGCGTGCGAATCACTTAAAGAGCGCGCTCCCTAGGTGGGTGGGTGCAGGGAGGAGCGCGGAAGCTTTGAAAGAAGACGATTCGTTGTACCTTTCTCGACTCGCAATCCTTGTCTGAATTCAGCCCCCCCTCCCTCCTCCTGCGCGAAGCGCGGAAGCTTTGACGTATTATTAGACAAAGAAGACGATTCGTTGTACCTTTCCCGACTCCTAATACTTAATTTGAACTCACTTTCCCCCTTTCCGCGCAAAGCGCGGAAGCTTTCACGTTTCATTAAATTATTAGAGAAAGAAGACGATTCGTTGTACCGTTCTCGACTCCTTTTCCCTTTTTCTTCCTATGTCCTCTTACTTTTTTCTTCTTCTCTTTCTCTCTTTTTTTTTTTGGCCGGCATTTTGGGGGGGGGGGCGACCGCCCCCACCGCCCCCCCCCCCCCCCTGGCTACGCGCCTGTCCTGCTGGAGTATGTACAGGGTTTTTTTTTTTAAATATCAACCCTTTATATTATATTTGCAGTGTGTATACAGTGACGAACCAGGTTTCCCAGTATGGCTGAGCCGTCAGCTCCTCCCAGCTATATGGAGGCTACTACTGACCAGCAATACCCCCCTGGACAGCCTGGAGTAGCCCCTTACCCACCTCCTACAGGTGCTCCTTACCAGGTGAGTTCAAAATTAGCCAAAAGGGGGTTCTGTTTTTTTAATGTACACACAGGCCAAATTCTATGGTATAACAGTCAAATCTACTCCTACCTACGCCTGCCCCTGAAATCTCCCCCCCCCCCCCCCCATCAAATCAAAAGAGTGATAAGTTACATCACTGTCTCACTAACAATATGATGTTGTATTCGATTCAGTGTCTGGTGAAAAATTATTCTTACTTGCTTACTTGTTTACTTTGTCTGCAAGGCTTGAAGTTTCAGCTTATGTGCCCCTCTTTACTGCATTGGATTCGCGTTGGTATGGGTAGTATTTCAGCGGATGGTGCTTCCAATGATTTTCAAGTTCTGACTTGAACTTATTGATTGATGAGGCATTTATGGCAATTTCAGGAAGGTTATTCCAATTATTTATGTTCTGCACTGAAAATGACATCTGCCTCATCTTAGATTTGCAGTGGGGCTTCCTTATTTTGAGCCTGTGTCCCCTTGTTCTGGATTCTTCGATGATTTCAAACATATCATTCCTCTCTACTGCCTCAAATCCATGCATGATCTTATATTCATTCATATAAGTTAAGAATAAATACATGCACTGCGGTGAATTACTAGTCATTTGCAGGTACACATTATGTAAGTATTCACTATTGATTTTAATGCCACTGTAACAAAGAGAAACAATAATACTTGGGGATTGTATGAATTTCATTTAGAGTAGAGTGTGTTTTATTGTATCTCATTACAGTTGTCTCAGCCTGTATGATCGAGACTGTTTATCCATGCATTCATTTCACTTGGCAGCATTAAAAGCAATAGGAAAGTTGAAAATGGGAAGATACATGCTTACAAAGGAAACAGCACCAAAATAGAATGCAGATAACTATCATGCTGGAGTAGGGAGCAGTAAAAAATGGAAAGGGGTCCTTATATGAGGCTGACCTAGAAAGCTCAGATAATCAATATAGTACTTTTTTTTTAAATATCATCATTCACCATTTCAATATATTGGATGTATATCATTAGATGGTTCAATCTACCCACAATCTGTTGCTTTTCTTTTTCATCAAGCCTTATTTTATGAGATATTGTTTCAAATCCTGAACTTTTTGTGAACATTGTATCCATACAGGCCGCTCCATACCCACCAGCTGGGCAGCCCTACCCACCTGCTGGAGGTGCAGCCTACCCACCACAAACGGGAGGTACAGCTTATCCACCACCAGCAGGAGGTACAGCTTATCCACCACCAGCAGGCCAGCCTTACCCTCCACCCTCTGGACCACCACCACAGCAAGCAGGGTACCAGAGTGCACCTCCACCAGCCAGTTACGGTAAGTGGTTGATACGTGGGTAGAAAGTGATAAGATATTGGTATTCTGTAATTTTTGTGATTTATTTTCATTGCAACAAATTAGAGTTGATTGTATTACCTAGTTGGAGATGAAATGGAAACAGCCAGAGAGTGATTTGATGCTACTTGCATTTTTATTATTGTGCATGACCAATAAATTGAACAATACTAAATTAAACTAAACTAAACTAAGCTACCGGTAAACTAAACTAAACTAAACTAAGCTACAGGTAAACTAAACTAAACTAAAATAAACTAAACTAAACTAAGCTAAACGAAACTAGACATGAACAACTTTTGCTGAGATATTTACTTGATTATATAAGCACGATTGCTATCGATGGCATGTTTATTCAGAAACTGAAAACAGGTTGAGTAAATATTGACATGAAATATGTACGGAAAATAAAATAAGTTCCCCCACACAATAATCTGCATGTAAATTAAATCTGTTGGTTTATTTCTACTACTTATAACGTTTACATGTACTTAGTCTTGATCTGGTGCTGCGTCTCCCAAAGGGACGTTTCTTTCGATTTCAACTTCTATGTTTTATTGCCCATAATGAAAACTGATATTGTTTCAGTTTAAATCTAATATACATAGATAGGGACACTGACTTTCCGTGGTCACAGAAAACGGACAGAATTCACAGAAATAACCATTTGAAACGAAAAATGCAATTTCGAACGGAAAGTCGCGAAAAACCCCTTTCATCTCAAAACTTTTCATTTTTCAAGAAGAAAATCGTAAAATTTACACTATTTTTGGTGATTTGTTATGCAGTGAAAAAATATCGGGCCTAAAATCATTGTTAATAACTCTGAATATCTAGCGATATTCGTCAGATTCTTAGGAGACAGGGCGCTGCCATTTTGTTTCGCTGGACCAATAGAGATCGTGACACAAACCACAGTACAAATAGCAGTGAATCGATCCTGTTATGCCAGCTAGGCACACACATGCCAGCAGCAGGCGCTAAGTGCGGAGAGATTGTACACACGCTGTTGTACAGTTCGAAAAAGGGGCTGACATGTGCGCCTAAAATGGATCAATTTCTGACATGACAGCCAAGACTGAAATGTTTTTGTCCACGTCGGTACTACTCAGCCTGTATCTGTATCGTTCCGTCAGGAATATGTCGTGTTCTGACACATTCCGCTAACTTTAGTCTGTGTGTCTAAGTTCAAATTTGAGGTTGGTACATCTAAACTTTTGATAATTTTTTGTATATTTTCACTAGTATTTTGCATCAAGTTTATCCAGTCCCGTCCGTATGTTTTTGTCTCGCCTGCGTAGCAAAAAGCGACTCAAGACATAGGCGCCACTTTTCCGGTGACGGTGACGGCGACGGCGGCGGCGTCAACATCTTTTTTAATATAATTTTGAAAGTATAAGTTCTTATTCAATAAAACTTAGACTAGAGGGTTATCAAGTATCCCCAATCATGTGAGTAGAATTTCAGGTCACTTAGTTAAGGTCAAAGGTCATTTCAGGTCAACAAACTTATACTATGTTGTAGTATCAACATCAAAACTTAACAAAAGGTTACAATTTTGAATTTTTATCATAATTTTGAAAGTATACATTCCTATTCCATGAAACTTGAACATAGGGTTTATCAAGTATCATCAATCATTTGATTAGTCATTTAGGTAACAAAGTCAAGGTCAAAGGTAATTTAAGGTCTGCAAACTTAAACTTTGTTGTGGTATCAACCTCAAGATTTTTAATTTTTAGCATAATTTTAAAAGCGTTTGTTCAAATTCCATGAACCTTGTACACAAGGGTTATCAAGTATCACAAATCATATAACGCAAATTCCAGGTCAAAGGTCATTTTTGGTCAGTAGACTTGGATTATGTTTTCACAACTTAATATGAGAATTGATAAATCAATTTTTATTATTTGTTCATATTCCATTAAAGTTATCGATCTTGGTACAAACTATAGTAAATAATTTTCCTGATGATTCTTAGCCAATACTCACTTCAATTTTTTTTTTTTTTTTTTTTTTTGGTAGGGGGGGGGGGGGCTGCTAATGGGCCACCCTGTCAATAAATAATATCCCAACCTCAATTTTTCATCATATCGAATTGCATAATGCAGGTGAGACCGCCGTGAGCGTTTCCCTTGTTGAGTGGTTATCAGTGGCAAAACAGAATTTCACGGAATTCCAGATTTTCTGAAACGGAAAAAGCCATTTTTTTTTAACGGAAAATCAGTGTCCCTACATAGAGAATGTACAAAATAGATGTAAATATGATAATGAATAACACAAGGAACTATTTTACATAATCATTGAATAAATATTATTTAATGATGAGTGCAGAGCACGGTAATTCCCAGATCAGCCTGGATGATTCGTGTCAAGGGATTCTTATTTTATGAACATGCATATTTGTTTTTGGAATGGATTAGCTGCATTGTTTTAATCTCATTTTTCTTACAAGGAGGAGGAGGAGGAAATCCCCATGGTGATGTGGAGGAAGGCTTCACAGCTGAAAGGGGTTTCAACAACAAATCCATTCGAGCTGCTTTCATCAAGAAGGTGAGTAGAGTTCATGTGTGATAGTGATGGTGGTGGTTATTTACCTGACTGCTAAGATGTAAGTAAGCAACCAGACGGCCGACGGCTTTAGGTCCTTTCCGAGGGACCTGGTAATAAGGATTAATGTTTTACCAAAAGCGCACTAGCGCATCGACTTGGTTTCGAACCCGGGTCACCGGTTTACGAGACCACTGCTCTACCGAATGAGCTATCACGCCTCCCTGATATATGTGATATTTCATAAAATAAATCTGTAATCATGGTTCGATTGTGACCTTCAGTTTCTGATTCTTAGAATTATGAATATTTTCTGTCACGTATTAAGATTGTTGATAGGAGTAAAATAAACTCTTCCTTTTTAGGTGCAGTATTTTGAGTGTTAATTAAACATTTGTCAGCAGGGGCTGTTATAGTTATAATCATTCAGGAATTTATGACATATTTTTTTGATTCTTCATTGTTACTTTCTTCCCAAAATTATTGATTAATCATGTATATAATTCTGTTACAAATTTGTATTTCCATATATTTTACAATCATTGTTACTCTTCATGTATACCCCAACTGGTTGCAATTACTGTTCCCCTAACTGGCTAATCCCACTGTTATTTTTTTTCAGGTATACTTTATCCTCTTCATTCAGTTGTTGGCGACCTTCGGAATTATCTGCGTCTTCGTTTATGTGTAAGTTTTTTATACCAGCCACTTAACATTAAAATGTGTGTATGTATACCAGTAATTCTATGATCATTGTAAAACCATAATTACTTTATTGGCAGTATACATGTGGGTAATATAGGAAAATAGCTTAGGCCTTGACAGTATATTAAAGCATGGACCTACTACGAATAGTCATTCAACAACGACGAGAGTAGTAAAATAATGATAGCTATCACCTGTTCTTATGTCTTACTTCCTATATGTTTTAAGTTTGAACGCTGCAGGCATGTTTTGATAAGCTTGGATGAGGGGCCTTTGTTCCAACGAGAACCCCCAAACTTTGGTCATGTATGTATCTTGCAGAGCCAATGAACTGATTAGATTTTAGGGTCATGAGGTCAAAGTTCAAAGGGTCATACATGTGTATGAAACATAGCTTGTAATCATGATGTTCTAAAAACCTGTTACTGGATAACAATGTAAACTAGAGTATTAAGTCAACAGTTGTGCCCTTAAAACTTCCTTTGTTTTCTCCATCTCTCTCATATTCTACCTCTCTCTTTTTCCAAAATGCAGAGAGCCTGTGAATTCATATGTGAGGACTAACAGTTGGCTGTACTGGTGCTCTTAGTAAGTATACTTTCAGTGGTGTAGCAAGATTTGTCGCAATCTTGGCTTTTTAATGTATCAGTCTTGGTCTCGACCCCAAAACAATATACTGCATTTCTTCAACTTTTGTTTGTTTTCTTAAAGAAATACATTGTCTGTCATTGTTTTGGACTGTCTTTGTTCTGTCTGTTTTCTGAAATGGAACTTGCTATTGTTTTCAGACAGAATTTTGTCGATTTTTTTCCTCAGATAATTACATATTAAAACTACTTTTTATGCCTCCGCCACCGAAGGTGGTGCCGGAGGCATCATGTTTTCGGGTTGTCCGTACGTCCGTCCGTACGTCCCGTCTGACCGTTATCACAATATCTCAAGAACCATTTAAGATTTAAACTTAAGACTCGGGAATAGTATTTATCACCATAGGAAGACGATCTGATTAGATTTTGGAGTACGTAGGTCAAAGGTCACAGGTCACAGAGGTCAACTTATGAAATTCCTTGTATTGAGTTTGTTAGCGCGATATCTCAAGAACCATTCGAGATTTAAACTTCAAACTTAAGGATAGTATGTATCACCATAGGAAGACGATCTGATTAGATTTTGGAGCAAGTATGTCAAAGGTCAAGGGTCACAGAGGTCAACTTATGAAATTCCATACATTGAGATTGTTATCATGATATCTCAAGAACCACTGGAGATTTCAACTTCAAACTTAGTGATAGTGTGTATCACTATAGGAAAACAATCTGATTACATTTTGGGTCACGAGGTCAAAGGTCAAAGGTCACAGGGCTCATTATGTATGCAAAAACAGCTTGTGATCGCGTTATCTGAACAACCGATTGATGGATTCCTGCCAAACTTTGGTCATGTATGTATCTTGCAGAGCTGATGAACTGATTAGATTTTGGGGTCACGAGGTCAAAGGTCACAGGGCTCATTATGTATGCAAAAACAGCTTGTGATCGCGTTATCTGAAGAACCGATTGATGGATTCCTGCCAAACTTTGGTCATGTATGTATCTTGCAAAGCCAATGAACTGATTAGATTTTGGGGTCACGAGGTCAAAGGTCACAGCGCACATTGTGTATGCAAAAACAGCTCGTGATCGCCTTATCTCAAGAACCGATTGATGGATTCCTGCCAAACTTAGGTCATGTATGTTACTTGCAGAGCTGATGAACTGATTAGATTTTGGGGTCATGAGGTAAAGGTCAAGGTCATGCGGCTCATTATGTATGCAAAAATAGCTTGTGATCGTATTATCATTAGAACAGATTGATGGATTCCTGCCAAACTTAGATCATTTATGTATCTTGCAGAGCCAATGAATGGTTCATAAGATCAAAGGTCATGGGCTCATTATGTATGCAAAAATAGCTTGTGGACGCATTCTCATTAGAACTGACAGATGGATTACTATTTAACTCAGGAAATCTTGCAGAGCCAATGAACTGAGTAGATTTTAGGGTCATGAGGTCAAAGATTAAAGGGTCATATATGTATATGAGAAATTGCTTGTAATCACGATATTCTGAGAACATGTTAATGGATTACAATTGAACTTGAATTTGAAAAATTTCTTCCGTTTCGGTTTGTAAAATTGCTCTATGACGGAGGCATCATTTTCGACTGCGCGCAGTCGAATTCCATCTAGTTTTAAATTCTTTTGCAATATTTTTCTTGTTTGGGAGCAAACAAGTCCCACTACAGCACTAATGTCCTTTGGCAAGACATTGATCTACATTTGCCACTCTCCACCCAGGGGTTACATGGGTACCCGGTAGGATGCGAAAGCTAATGTGCTTAGATTAGCAACTGTGCGCTTGTAAAATAAAATGACGCCTGGCTGGAATACTCCCCAGGGAGTGGAGAATGGGCATACATTATGTGCGGGTATGCCTGAATCCGATGACCAGGGTAATATGATTGCAGGGCCCTCAGGGAAAACAGTATAAATACTGATGAGGCAACCCTGGGTAAATAAGACATATTATTATTATTAACATGCTGTATATAATCTTACACATTTAAAATAATGACCAAGTCTTATCCACTAGTTACTAGTTAGCATTGCTGGTGTGGCAGCGCACTCCAGTACTCTCTGTGTTGTTAGCCTGATTGATCTGAATATATAACTACTGTATTCTTTTCTTTCTTTTTTTGATATAAAGATTTTTTGTTTTTTTGTTTGTTTGTTTTTTGTTCGTCTGGTGATCCCCTCCTAACAAGCCTGTTGTTTTCTTCATTTCTTTGTATTTATTTGTATTACTAGCTCATATGTATGTATTACTCTGTTATCAAATATATTGATTTAAACATGAAATAATGCATGACATACTGTTAAGTTGTTTTATTTTTTTTTATTGTACATATTGGAAAAAATATATGAAAGCTATATGGTCTCTCAATCAATATTAAAAGATTCGTCCTGTCATATGCAGGATGAGCATACATTATTCATGTTTTTATTTTGTTTTTGTCTATTTTGATAACCCTGCAGCGCTCTGTTCCTGGCTATGTACATTGTCCTTGCGTGCTGCCCTACCGTTCGTAGGAAGTATCCTGGAAATGTTGTTGCACTGGCAGTGTTTGTGAGTTTCTTATTTATTCTCTTCTCTCAGTTTTTCTCATATGTTAATCTTTCAACCATCTTAAGTAAAAGGGTACTGGATTTTCAGCAATTTCATTTCAAGTTTGGAAATATTAAACGTGTAATAACCTATGAAGTCATTTTGATTTAGGTATTTGTGTTTTTTGCATCTTTTTCTTTCAAAAGAATTTCAAGACTGATATGGTCGTTGAGGTGAAACGACTGATTTAATTAAGGGCAAATGTTTGAATACCACATAGAGATGAAGTATTTGTATGATGTCATGATATAACTTTTGACTGAATCATATCAGAATTAGGAACTGGTTCATTTATAAATGAAATACATATAGCACTTTTAATGTGCATAATTTTGATACCAATATGTCTTATTATTCTTTCCTTGACCTTACTATCTATTTATCATTTGACTCTTTAGACCCTCTGTCTATCTTACATGGCTGGAACAATTTCAAGGTAAGAATATGTTATGTAATCCTATATGTTAATTTCACTATATTGCTGAACTCGCATTGAGTACAAAAGCAGAAATATACAATGTATGTTTACCAGTACTGGATTATTTTGTGGCAAAGCCAATTTGTTAAAGAAAAATCACCATATACAATACCAGGGGGTTGTTTCACAAAAACTAAGACCAACTTTAAGTTAGACTTAACTATGGCAGGCATTCATGCCACTGGTTGCTCCCATCATTGGTCTCTCAATTATGATCTTTAAATAACATCTTTTCCTTCAATAATGAACTATCAAAAAAGGTAAATTCTATAGATTTGGGAAATCAGTGCCAGAAATGCTCAGAAGAACTAGTGGCATGAACAGCCTGCCATAGTTGAGTCCAACTTAAAGTCGATCTTAGTCTCTGTGAAACACCCCCCAGACAATGTGATTAGAATATGTGTGTACTTTATTGTTTCTCTATTTGGCCTGTGGGAAGTGTAGATTGCCTAAGGAGCAATGTTTTAGACTAAAACTTGCACAAGTAGTAAGACATTCTCTGATGTAATGAATAAATGAGCTTGAAAGTGTTTTTCTTTTTAAGATTCTAATTTTAGGAAGCCATGTTTTCACATCCATGTTTATTCATTCCTTTGTTATTGTAGCTACTATGGGGACAATGCTGGTCAGTCAGTCTTGGTCTGTATGGGTATCTGTGCGGTGAGTATATCTTTCTCTCCAAGGTTATTCCAAAATCAAGAGTATTTCTGTATTTATGATTGTATCATGTAGAAGTCAAACCAGAGCATTATAAAATCATTTATATACAGTGTACCTCTCTTTAGTATGTTGAATAAATCTAGTCGTCTAATTGGTCAAAATTGTCATTTCCCGAGTGTAGATATTTAACCCACAGCATTAAAAGACACTATGAACATGACGGATAAAGAAAGCGGACAAAATATACAGTTCCTCATTCTACCCTCAACAATTGCTATGGTAGACAAAAGAACATCCCTTCACTGCTATTATGTAAAAATCTGTAGAACAGGTGTCACATGCATATTCACCTGTCCTACACATTTTTACATAATAACAGTGAAGGGATGTTCCTTTGTCTACCACAGCAATTGTTGAGGGTAGAATAAGGAACTGTATATTTTGTCCGCTTTCTTTGTCCGTCATATTCATAGTGAGAGTACCTTACATAATTTCCAGTGAATATGAAAATAATCTTTGACTATTTTTTCTTCTTTACCGGTACTTGCAGGGAGTGACCCTTGGTGTGAGCCTGTTTGCCATCCAGACCCGGTTTGATTTCACCTCCTGTGGAGGGTTTCTCTTTGTGTTCAGTCTCTCTCTATTCCTCTTTGGGTTCATTGCCATCTTCACTCGCAGCAGCGTAAGTTATTTTCCTCTTCTTCTTAAAGTGACTCGCTTACATTTGTTGAAGGTTGATGAAAAAATTGTTTCATTTTTGTATGAAATGTTACCTTTTATATTCCTTCTACAGTACTAACCCTCTAACATGCAAAAAATCCTGAAAAACATACTCGTACCACAAAGAAATTTATGGTTTTCTTTGGAGGTGTCACTGTGCGACACCCTCTGTCACTGTGCGACACCCTCTAACAGTAAATTCTCCCAACCATTTTTGAATGTTCCAAACCATTTTTCCATGAAAATAAGACATAAGACAGGCTTTTAAAAATATGTCAACACTGGATTGGTATATAGAGCCAATTCATTGCCTTGTGATGATTTACATTCACCTAAAATGTAATTAAATTATAATATTATAGTTTGGAGAATTAAGGGATCAATCATATCAGATTTTCCCCATTTTTATCATTAATAATGGTTTGTTTTCACTCAAACTTTCAGATTATCTTTAATTGTACATCTAGCATTGAATTCACTACCTTAGCACCATTTTCTCTCATCTTAACAATGTTACCAAGTCCCTTTAAAGTGTGTTCTTGAAAGATGTCTTGTATTTGTCATTTATCATCTGATCTGTTGGAACATAGGTTTTCAAAGAAAAATGGAAGTTGCACCAGTGAATGTGATGGCATTTATAAGAATACATGATTAGTTGGCGGAAAGATGGAAAGGTGGAATGATCATAAGTTGTTTCATATATATATATATTTATTGAACACATATAATTTGATAAATATTTAACTTTGGCTACACTATATTTAGGTTTGTGAGAAGTACATTTATGATTTTAATCATTGCTTTTATTGCTTTTGTGATTTGATTACATAAGAGAATTTATATTTTTGCTACAGATCCTCTACACAGTTTATGCTTGGTTGGCAGCTTTGCTTTTCACATTGGTAAGTCAATGACAATATGTGATGATTGTTCATTATTTGTACGTAATTGTTTAGTGTTGGATAGTTTTTTTTATAATACGACACCTTTCAATAAAATATAATCTTTATAAAGTTGGATCTCTCATTTATATTTATTGGAAAATCAACATAAAGGGATAAAGGGATGTTAAAGGATAATACCATAATCTTTGATATTATTGACTTTTTCATACTTGTGGTCATTGTAATCATCAGTACTACTATTATGGGCCCCGTTTTACAAAAAGTTGATATCAATCGTAACTATGTACATAAGAGATAGGAGACTGCAAACTTGCGATTAATTGGAGGACTTACGATTGATTTGGATCGTCGTAACTCTTTGTAAGACGGGGCCCAGTACTACTATCAGCTGATTTAAAAACCTCCACTATCGCTATAATCTATAACTTGATCCTGTCACAAGTTACACATTTTGTTTGACCCTTTGTCATCCCGCACAGTTCCTCGCATATGACACCCAGCTGTTGATCGGAGGGCGCCGTTATGAGCTGTCTCCGGAAGAATACATATTCGGTGCCATGAACCTGTACGTGGACATAGTCTACCTCTTCCTCATCATCCTTGCCTGCTTTGGTGGGGGGAAGTGATCTTAGGAACTGGCTCTCTCTCTCTCTCTCTCTCTCTCTCTCTCTCTCTCTCACTCTCTCTCTCTCTCTCTCTCTCTCTCTCTCTCTCCCTCCCTCCCTCCCTCCCTCCCTCTCTCTCTCTCTCTCTTTCTTTAGAGCCATTATCCCCCTTTCCATGATTGGAGAGAATAAGTGGTCATGTGACCTGTTTAGCTGATCAGGTGATGCTCCATGGCAAACAACACATGGCTGGCTGATTTTAAACTCTTGATTGGCAAATATCTTTTCACATTTACATGCATTAATCACACCTAAAAACTAATCAAGAATGTAGTGACTTTAAAATAGTGTAAAGTCAATCATCGGTATAAATACATCTAGCATTAGAAGTTTAGAACCCAACAGGAAATGCGAAAAGCAAAGAGGGAAAAGGCAATTTTGCATTTTGTAACTGTGTATTATAATTATTTGATTCTAAAAAAAAAGGTGTTCCTTTGTATATACTCATCTTATTCATTTCATCCAGATTGATAGGGAAATTAAGTTTGGATTTACTTATTTCATGTTGCATGGTTAGGAAAATTCATGTACAAAATTAGACATTACCATTTGTAAGATCAGACAAATTTCTTCTCAAATAGTCATGTTTCCCCTACAATTGTTCACTGCTATACACCCTGTGTAAGGATTGAAGAATATATACACCAGTATATAAATATCCCGAAAGCAAAATAATTGCATGATCAATTTCATTCATCATACCAGTTACATATACACCTACACTGTCATCAAAAACATGTACTATAGAATACATTTATATACTAGTATATTATATTTTCTTTTTTATATGTAGAATTATATCATTCATATTCATTTTATTGCCAATATAGTTCATGTTGTTGTTGTGTGTTAATAGGATAAAGGTATTTGGTGTCATGTTCAGCTATCTAAGGGAGGCTTTCTTGTTCAAGTTAAACAATTATATATGTGTAAATAAAGATAATAGGCAATCTTATTTGGGGTTATTCAATTCCAACAGAAATGGAATAGGCTAGGCTCAAGAGAATAATAGGAATTAAATGGAAAGAATAATATACTTTCAGCAAACCAATAGAAAAGGCAAAATAGATAACGATTAGTACTATTGGAGAAAAAAAAGGATATTGAAAATGTGTAGGTGAAAATGTTATTTGATATCATTGTCCTAAAAGATGTGTATTCATATATATATATATATATATATATATATACAGGCAAGAAGTATGCTGCACTTCATAGCTGCTTTAAGAAAAATCAGAGATCATCTATAGTTCCTTTTTGCATTTTTCATTTGTCAATACCAATTGCTAAGAAATGGGAAGAATTAAATATTTACGAAAGAAATATAATCTGCATTTTAAAACAATATCTGACAATTACAGACTACATGCTTACCATGCCTATCTACCAAATGTTATAGGCATACCTCTGTGATGAAAATGTAAAAGATATATGAAATTAATGATATTGTTACCTTTTATTGTACCGAATGCCTTAAAAAAAAACTTTTGATAAATCAGGATTGAAATCAAATGTACTGAAGTCCTTTGGAGCTGTCTTTTTTGTAGATCTGTATAGTTTTGTAATATACAAGTTGTGTAAGGTTATCAAGATGTATACATGTGATAAACCATAGCTGCATGTGTTAATAATACTTGCACAATAATATGTGAGTGATCATGACACTGTGCTAGGTAGTATAGTGGAGAGTTTTCAATCTTTCTTTTAAATGTACATTGCAGATTCCTAGTTTCAAAATTGATACATTCTATACTTCAGAATCATACATTCATACTTGAATATTGTTGTATATCTATGTTTTTTCGGATTGTTGTGTATGTATAAAGAGAGTGGCAATTTTTTAGTAGAGGTCATTGTCGGGTCAAGGTAGTCATGAAGTGCATGGCTTGTCTTATTATAGTCCACTAGAAATGAATTGATTTTTCTGTGTCGGGATTCACACTGTCAGATGGATTATCTCATGTGTTCATGATTTTTGCTTTCAAATTCCTGACAACAACTCCAGTAGAAAACTATTACATGCACTTGACATTGTATCCCATTAATTTTTAGAAATCTTTCACTTTTACCTTGGTAGTCCTAAAATGGAACCACTTAAAGATATAGTTAGGTTCTGGTCATGCGATTGCATTGTGAAAGAAACATTGTGGAATCGATCAGAAAAGGTTGATCATCTAGCATACTGGTATAAGTATTGGTGTGTTAGTCCTAAAATGGAACCACATTTATATATGATGTTTCATATCCAGTAATATAAACATACCCACAAATGCATCTGATAATATGATCATTAGCCATTTTTAAAATATCACTTGGTTTAATAAAAACAGGTTCTAGAATGCAGGAAATCTTAATTGGTTGATTGACACCATGTGACCATGCATCATTTTTTCCTACCACACCTATCTCTGCAAAACGGTTTCAATCAAAAAGTGATACCCCACAGCTAAGGTGCTCGTATGCATATCTGTGGCGCATACAAAATTTAAGCCCCAATGAAATGCACATAGTTTCAAATGGAAAAGACATTGATGCACCTATTACACTGTTTGGCTGCACTAAATGTAATGTGGTGTCATGTCATGCAACTGATAAAATGGCGATCCCATGACTGTGTGATTCTTGGAAATCTGATCGGGTTTGTTTCTTATATCTTGAGTTTAATTTCATTTTGTTGACCCGTTTTATGAAACAAATAATTCATTTTTTAAAGATCATGCGTTCATGGTGCATTGCACTGCACTTGGTCAAGCCACAATGAGCCAGTTAATTGTAGGTCATTATCACGATGTGACTTAACCTGCATGCAGTGCATATTCACAATCGCACTGCAAACATGAATTATTTGTATACTGTTAACTATATCACCTGCAAGTCAACCAAATACAATGAACACAGCTAACAATTTAGACTAATGTCTGACACTTTACAAAATTTTAATTTTGTATTTCTAAACCTTTTAATGGCTGGCCCCTCCCACACTCCACCTTCTGTAATGGCAAGTATTAATACTACTAATAATATTATTATTAAGAAAGTATTAAGAAATTTGTAACTTTCATATGAACAAATCTCCTTTTGTTTTGTTAAAGTAACTATTGTACCTTTGGGTTAGAGGTTGTTTTGTATACTTTGAGTTGAGGCTGTGGTTCGGTATAGGCTGTTTTCCATTTGGTAAATACATGGGATTAACTAATATTTTGTTTTAACTATGTAATAAATGAGAACAGGATGTCTATGACTTGATTACATGTCTATTTATGGCCTACAACAAATGTTATTTTTGTGCAATTAAGTTGTATCCTGAACTATAAAATGTAGTTTATCATAGACCCATGTTATTTTCATAGCTTTTGTAATCATTGATATCTGTTTATCATGGTATGAGTTATTCTGATCAAATATTGAATAAAATTACATATACATTTCATCAGTATACTGTAAACTCTCTTGTGTGAGTTGTCTTTTCTTCTTTAGTCTCTGCTTTAAGTATATGCCTCAAATCTCATCACAAACTGAACATATTATTATATATCCTTTTTATAATCTAACAAGTCAAACAAATACTATTTCTTCTTATGTATAATGTATTTGTTGGATATATTCCCTGGCCACCATCGCTCATAGTCAATTTCTCAATTATTGACTTACAGCCTTTAAGTTACTCGAGACCTAGCATTATACCTATCCAAAATTATGACCCTGAAATCGAAACCTAAACCACAATTGTATTCAAGTCTTCATACTATGTCTTTAAAGCCTTGTGCAAGGGGTCCCTCTGTCCCCTCATTTAATAAGCAAACGTCGGCTTCAAACACCATCCAACCAAATTACCCTGTCGTGTCAATTTCTCTTGTTTGGCTCCATGCTATTCCACAAATTATTATGAATGGCGCCACCACATACTTAACAAACCACATTCTATACACATTACTCATAAATTCATAATCATTGTAAACTCTGCATTTAGAAATATCTCTCTCGCCTGAGAACATTGAAGCCAATCATTTATTCCAGTGTCATGTGACCTGAAGTGTGCACATTTTTCTTTGTAGAGGTCAGACACATCAAATAATTGCAAGAAGATTGATTATTGGTTTTACTCCAGTCTTTGGAGGGATTGAAGGTGCAAGGTGCTCGAAATTCAATTTTAAAAAGATACTTTCTTCCAAAGGATGAGTATTTTTCTTCAAACTCATCGAGCTTCGAGTACTTGTTTAGTAATGAATAGAATCATTGATATTTTCACCATAATGATGACTTTGAAAAGGTGTTAGGCATTCTTACGTTTTTCTATTGTTATGCTTTAAATATTAAGAAATTACATAGCAAAATTATATAATTATGTTGGCGTGGAGCAGTTCATCTCGAATACATTGCTTCACCGCGTTTGATGCAAGATGACGTTCTGGATTTGTAAACGTGGTTTCAATTTACCTCCCAACGATCTACCGTAGCCATCGGGCTCTGAACTGATTTATCCTGCAATGGATGATGATATATTTCAAGGAATCTTAGGGGTGTGTATACCTACCACCCACCCGTTTGATACCGGGATCAGATGGGGGCAATGAGATGTTATCTACCGGCTCATGCTGTTCAAAAACTCGGTATTTTTGATAATTTCTCAGCTATAGCCAGTTCAAGTCGGTGCAATACTGGTTCTCTGCATGGATACCAAGTTAGAATACAATTTAATATTATTCTCGCAAGTTGGAATAATGTACATGTACAAGCTACGGGCCTGCATAGGGATTTGAATAACTGGACCTTCCTCTCTGCATTACGATTCCTTTTAATGACCTTTTGATATAAAGTTTCAAAGGGATTTTGTCCAACCAACACAATCGGATCATTGTCAACTTCAACATGAAAAAATAATTCGAAGGCTTTACACAAATTAGGGTGGTGGAACACAATCATTGATTCATTAGCACAACACTAATCAACTTTTGCTGATGATGACAATGATAAAGCTTGACTACCAATCTACATAATAATATCTACCGGTCATCATTGCCCTTGACCTATGGTGGTCGGTGACG